CACCTTTGCAAGGTGTTGCTCGACGATGCTGTTACCGACAGAATCTGACCCATTCATTTCGATGTCGTCGATGTCGTTGATGTCGTCGTTGTTGTTGCTGTTGATGTTGCTACTGCTGCTGCTGCTACTACTACTGCTGCTGCTGATACTGCTGCTATTGTTGTTGTTGCTGCTGCTGCCCATGTCCTCATCTTCATTGCTGCTGTTAATCTCACTATTTTCATTATCGTCATGTGTGTCAGGCGTGTCATAGACACAGTGCATCTTCCAACCAAACAATGCCTGATGGGGCGAGAATGTGCCCGATGAACTGTCGAGTTATAAGTTTCATAATTATGTTAATATATCAGATCGAAATAATATAGCATATTTCGACATAAAGTTTAAGTACAGCGAAAAATTATAATGCTAATGAGATTATGTAACAAGATATTTTACGAAGAAATTATTCGCTTGAAACGTCCGATGTATCCCTAAGGGTAAGGCTTTAGTTTGAGATTACGAAATATACAAACTATTATGGTTAATACTAGTTTTCAAAATTCGGAGCAACTGACCAACAACATTAAATTTGATGTATTACAAATTTGATGACTCATTGACGTTATTTTGCCATTTGCTCGCAATACACAGTGAAACTCGATAAGTCGGACACGACGGGCTGGCATGGGATGGCTGTCTGACTTACCGAGTTATCGAGAGGCCAACAGGATTTATTGTAACACAATTTCCTTTCATGTTATAAGTAGGAATCGATAAAATCTTCCGCGTGAAGAACACGAAATTGAATGCACCCCGAAAACTAGCTACTGTCTACGTTTCTTATATATATTTTTGAAATGTCTATAATACTATTATTAGTTATACTACGAACTATTTTAACAATAGAATTACCACTCTAGGGGCATGTCTAAAGCGGAGCAGATTCCTCGCAATTCCATTGGTCAAATTGTATGGCAGCCAATAAAACTGCAAATACAGGATCACGTTCTGCTCCGCTTTAGCCTTTCCCCACTCTAGTCTTATCGCTATTAAAGTCTGCTGCTTGTGCTGTAGCTTGTATTACAGCAATGTTTGTGTTCGTCATTGCAAATTGGTGTAGCATCCGTCAATAAATTGTAACCTGGATTGCTGCGGATCGTCGGATAGATTTTGTCAGTGGTGATACAAGATTCTGGGAGAATTATACGTCATCGTACTATCGGGTATCATTGGTTTTTTTTGTATTTGTCTTTGCGTAATTGGAAAAGTACTTTAATCATATACTGCATTCTTTTATCTATACTACCCTTGTGAAGAATAGCACAAAAACGATCGTATACACTATTGTTAGCCTTTGGATTAACTTCAGCAAGAAATGCACCTGCTTCTTGCATAATCAACAGCTATTTCGACCGAATCGTTGGTAGGGCGTTCGAGAGAAGGACAAGAATTTGGAGAGCGGCCAGTTCATAGATGTACTAGGAATGTAGTCGTTGCCAAGCAGACGTCTGTAATGGTCGATTGTGATTAGAGAATATGTCAGTTAGCGAATCGAGTATATAATCAAGAGAATTCATTTGATGAGTCCCAAATTAGAAAGTCTAGAATCTCAGTGTAGCGCTTATTCCAAATATTTACCCTATCATTTCTTCGATACGCCTTTCTAAACTGCACAACTAATCTCGTGCATAACAATGCTTCTACTTGCGAAAATTGTATTAACTAATACGGCATATACAGGAGTAAACGGATGATGCAGCTTGAGCTTTTATTATACAAAAAGACCGCGCGACCACGAATAAGATTCTTATTTATTAATTCCAATACAATATTTTTTATGTTTGATGTATTAACCTGATGGTTAGTAGAGAAAACAAATATTATTTTTAGTAAAGCGTTGCAAGTGGAATCCCAGAAATTAGAACGAAGGGCTATATATAGGCGCTGATATTCTGCCGAGCTCTTATCCGTAATCTGTTGCTGCATCATTTGCAGGCGTGCCGGCGGTATGTAGACACCGCAGCACGAGTGTTGATTAGAGTCGTTTCGGTTTGTGTTGTCGACATTGTGTAGGATTGGGTTATAGACGGAACACTCGACAACGCAACGAATATATATTAGCGCCACAATTACTTTTTAGGGAGTTGACGCCACAGTCCAAAATTCTGATAAACCAATCCATGTTCAATGCGGAGTCTTCAACTACCCCTGGATCACCATCAAAAAATTTACGGCGTGGGTGAAATTATAGAAGCAAATTTTAAATTTATGCCAAAACTTAAATCTTACATATAGAAATAATCACGTGTCCGTAAAATTTTGATGGCGATGCTGGGAAAAATGGAGACCTCTACACGTATACAATTAAGGGTCCTTGAATGAAAAAATAATTATCAATGCGCATCCATCCAATTTACCAAAAATAATAAATGGTTTATTATACATAGACATGACAAATTCGATCAGATATTGTGTTATTATGCTACATTTACTTTGCGATAGTCTGGTTTACGATCCTTTTTACATACTCCAAGTTACGCTCATTACGCTTTTCTCGGCTTAAATCTCAACATCAATTCGTAGCATTGGTTCATAGATTCATATTTGATCTTTGGCACAGTATCCGGTGTGGCCAATTCGGGATCAAATTTACGAAAGATCAAAGCAGCAATGGTTTTCATTTCTGTCATAGCCAACTGCCTTCCAGGACATAGACGCATACCTCCTCCAAATATTTCAAGCGAGTATCTGTCAATGTTATGATTATTGGGTTCCAGAAAGCGGTCAGGATTGAATTCTTTTGGGTTAGCCCAGTGTTTAGAGTTGTGTTGAACTCCAAGGCTGGAAATGATTATTTGCTGGCCTTTCTGTATAGTGGGATGTAGCAATTGGAATTAGGAATATTATTTATCACGGTTGAAATATGCAAACGTAATTTTTTTTTACCTTGATGGGATATCCACCGATTACGTCATCTTCTTCGGCCACACGGAGATTTATGGAGGTGGCGGGCATAAGCCGACCAGTTTCCTTAATGACAGCGTCAGTATATACCAATTTATTTAAATCTTCATATTTGATTGGTCGAGAAAGATCCGTTCCGAGGACTGTGTCAAGTTCTTGTTGGAGACGTGCTTTGACTTCCGGATGTGTAATTACAAGATAGACTATGAAGCAAGTCAAATTCGATGTCTGTTTGTTTAATTCACGATTGACAATTAGCTAGAATATAATCAGTGAATATTGTACGACAGTATCTTTAATCAGGACTACTTTACCGTATCAATACCACCAAGCAACATTTCCATTATACTAGCTCTGATATCCTCGTCCGTCAGTGGCTCTTCGATGGTGCCGTCCCCCCGCTTCTGTGTCATATCTTTTGGTGTATTTACTGTAATCATTAATGTCAAGAAATCGGATTTCAATTGGCTGTTGTCGTTAATCTTTTCAATTTCTTTTCTCCTTTGTTGGATAATTTTAATCAAAGACTTGTGAAGCCAGTTTAAGTTGTCCAGATGTTCTTTTGTCTGGCTACGTCCAGTAGGAGTTTTAGTGCGAATTATTTCAGGTGTGAGGAGAAAGTAACTTATTGTGCTGGTAAATTTCTTAAACGCAGTAATGAATTCGTTCGCTTCATTGACCACTTCTTGAGGATATGGAGCAGGCTTGGATGGAGCATGAGTGTTGTATAGTGAAGCCATCGTGCAAGCGTGCTTGTCCATTGCTATACGAAATGTCATATCTGCGGTAAATCGAGGCATCCAGTCAGCAAAATTGAAGACTTTTTTGTCGAAACCCAACTCCATAAAATATCCTTCCATATTAGCAAACGCCTGCTGAACCCATTCTGTGGCTTGTCTGGAGAACTTTATTGTACTAAGGGTCTGAGCAAACATCTTTCTGTAAAAGTGCCATCGTTCTCTATTTCGATTAAATATTAGTCCATTAGATGACATTCCCATTATATCGAGTCCGCTGCTGGGAGGGTTCCTGATAAAATACTTGTTGTCTTTTGATGCAGTCAGTATATTCTCGACAAGGTCAGCCCGTGCCAGCCAGAGCTGTCTATCGCTGCCAATATACACTTCCCATATGTCACCATATTTAGCTTGGTTTTCTAAGGCCCAATTATGAAGGTCGCCAGAAAGATTCAATTGAATAATATTGCCAATAAGGGGCAGCGGAAGCGGGCCAGGGAATGGAGTTTCGCGAGTAAAATATGAGTAATAGAATCTAGTAATGTAAAGTATAATAAAGGTGCCAAAGAGAATTAAGACATCCCAGAAAGAGAGAGAGGAAATTAGAAGTGTCAATGATGACATGTCGAATAAATGATTAATAATATATGAATCGGCTACCTGACACGCGCCTTGCTCGCCTTTATACAAACAAAATGACACCCTTATTAAGTTTGACCGATGATGTAACTATAAGTTACAGCAGGATTTTCTTGTATAAAGAATGTCCCGGAGATTACATAACTGTTTGAGTTAGCCAAGTATTACGTAAAAGTGTAATCTTGTAAAAAATGCACGAAACACCAATACACACAATCGGGATATGAAGCACGACAGACTTCACATGTAACTGTGTAATTAAGTACAAAGGTGGGGGGAAAGTAGTTAATTAATGTCGCAGCTGATGCTTGCAGTCGGCTGATGCTTGCATTCCACGTGATTTTTCTATTACCTAATTATTGCGGGTATC